TTAAATGCAGAAATGTGGATTCAATATTCAAGCGATTTTGCAGCAGCTGGAAAATGGGGGAATTCACTCTTAAGTGACTAAGGGAGGTATTGTGTGAGGATGGTATTTTCTTAGTGTGTGTGTGTGTGTGCGTTTCACCTAAATGTTTGCTCAGTCATTGTATTTGCTTACACAATGGTATATCTTGATGCACAATAGCTTACAGCACAAGTACGTTTTGTGTTTAATGGACAGATGGATATTTAAAAAAAAATATTTTGTGCAGGGCTCAATAAAATATCTGTGCATACAGTGTTGTGTGTGTGTGTGTGTGTGTGTGTGTGATCTGAGGAATAAGCAGGGTTGAAAAATGCATTAAATCTGGTTGTTTTACCAAAATGATGCAGTAGGACAGGGCTATTCAATTAGTTTGTCATGGGGGCCGGTTCATGAAAAGCATCCTAAAAAAAAGGCCGCAGAGATATGATTTGCTATATGAGTGACACAACTGCATATAAGAGACCATATGCTGTATATTTCCTTAAGACACCTACGTTGGCTTTTTCTACATTAAAATGTAAATATATTGTATTTTGAAACTACATAAAAATCAGTGCATTGTACAATAGCCACATGTGTGATGTTTTGAACAGCATAATTAGGGATGCAACAATTATAGATTTTGGTTGTAGGATTATATAGTCTGAAGAATAATCATGGTTTCACGATTATCACATCTAATGGAAATTCAAGCTTTATATTAGGTAAGTAGCTATTTAGATAACCTGTTGTCCCCATCTGCATTCATACAAACATTACATAATCATTTTAATAATAATTAGTCTAACATATCTTTTCTTTGCATTGCACTGAAAGGCACGCACAACTCTCACTGTGAGTTGTTTTCTACTGCGTGCGCCCAGAAAGACGTAAAAGCATCGCGCCGCTTGTGCTCGCATATTGTCATATATTCTTACTTTAGAAATAACAAACTTACAAGTGGAAAAGACGTGATATGAGAACGGCCGCTGCTGTAGTTCATCCTTGTGCGTGTGAATTAGCCTCGGTGTACTAAGGGAACTTTAAAGTAGTGCACAGTTGGCTACTTGACATTGTTTCGTGCGGTTTAAAGAAGACTTTACGATTCATTAACTGTGATGAATTAAATCGCAGTTAATAGTGAAATCAGCTAATTGTTGCATCCCTATTAACGTTATCAGAGCACTGTACAAAAGTCCTTTTCTACAAACACATCCAAATGTTTTTCGGCTGCCCGTGCCACTCGCCTATGGTGACTCGCGCTCTGTGCAGCTTCTGCAGCTCGTGCTGTTATTGAACAGACGCACGTCACTTCATAACTATAGCGGCCGTTTTTCGACTGAACTAAATTTATTTTTGATGTCTTGGTCGCACTGTTTGGGGGCCGGGTTCGGCCCGCGGGCCGCCAATTGAACAGCCCAGCAGGATTTTTTTTTAAATTAGTGAATGTCTCCATCTCAAGCTTTTATTCACAGTTGAACATGCTATGATGCAGTAATTATTTGTTTAATATATGATCATTAGCTGAATTTGAGCTGGTTATCGAAATATTTAATAAACTCTGCTAATTATATCATCATTACCTGGTAAGAATGTGATTTAACCACAGCGGTTCGAACTGTAGTTCTGCCGGACCTAAATCAGCATGACGGTGAAAAACTGTACATTTCTAGTCAAACCATTCTTCTGGAGTCTTATACCAAAAACAGAAATAAGGGCAGTATTAATAGCTATAAATGTGGGAGAGCGCTGATATTATGTGATTGTATTGTATTGCAATATGGAGCAATTAAGCGTTGATGTTAAATCAAAAGTAATTCACAAACACTTGAAAATGAGATGATTTAATGACAATAATTCTCTATGGTCACAACTGAATTAATTACAAAATAACTGTATAAAACGATTAAATATGAAATGATAAAAACATATGATAATTGAACCTAACTTTACTAAAATTAAAAGTTACCTGAGAGAGAGAGAGGGGGGGGGGGGGGGGGAGACAAAGAACAGTGAGTAGGCCTCAAACAGAGCTTGATAGCAGCAGAGTCAGAGAAGATGAACTCCAGAGCAGGAGTGAAAAGGAAAAGAGAAACAGGTTTACCACCTATTTTGTATCTCTCTTGACCATGTGACTAAAGCACAACTACTGAGACATTCAACTGACCAACCAACATGTGACAAACATACATCTTAGCCAGGCCCTGATCTTATCAGCATCTGCCTTTGAAGTCGGTGTGGAGCTTCTTGGTGAAAAAGACGTGTTTTGCCATCTAAACAAATACATATCATAATTTTTATTCCTACTGAACCATATCTAATGAAAAATAGTCACATGAACCTTTCACAGGAGGTTTAGCGGGGGGTGAAAAGACTAGCTGCGCAGTGTACCCTATTCTAGACAATTACACTGACAGCAGTGGCACCTGTTACTGTTGCTCCTTTGATGGACAACTGCTGTGATGAAGAGGAACACCATGACTGAATGAAACAGAAAACGTGCCTCTTATGCTCACCAGAGAAATACTGCTGTTTAAAAACTCATTGACCAACATTAAAAAAAAAAAAAAAAACACACATCTAGGCTGAGATTCAGCAGCCAACAGTGTTAAAATATTTGCATCTAAAATAAAGTTCAGTTTTATTGTTATTATTATTAAACTTAAACATTTAGCATTTTTTAATTCAAAGAAAACAAAATGTGTGAAACAGAGTTAAAACTAAACACAATCTTGTGATTTTTTTTTTTTAGTGGCCGTGAACTTTGTTGTTTTCTTACAAAGGCTAATATTTTTTAAAAGATTAAGCTTTTATTTACAGCATTTATTTCTAATTATATTACTTACAGTAAGTACATTAAATAATGAAAAATACTTTAGATACGCTGTAAAATGATCTGTTATTAACAGTTTTCGCATTTTGTGTTTTCAGCCTATTTGCGGTTGTGAATTGCATTATGGGATGTTGATCTGTGCCCTGTTAAACTGTACTTTTACTCAAGGATGGCTTTAAAGTACTTTTTGAATGAGTGTGAAACCACAGCTGATTCCCAGCTTCAGTTAGCAGAAGCAGATCTGCAGGCCGGTAGTCCAACATGAAGGCTGGATTTATAGTTGATCTGCGATCTTCAGGGACAGTTTACACGTTAGTCAGTGACCCCATAGCAAATAAAGGAGAAGAGAGATAGAGCTGGTGAACAATGGAGGATTACATGTGTAAAACAGACGCTGTCATGTTGAAGAGAAGAGTGTGTTCAGTACTGCTGTGTTCTCCAACACTTACAGTAATCCTCAGTGAAGAGTCTTCAAGCAGTGTTCATTCGTACTGAAGATGTTGCTTCTCCTCATTGTTGACTTGTGTTCTAAGAGATGTCTGATAAGAAATACAGGCCAAATGTCCAGATCTCCTCTGCTGTTCTCTCTGTTGACCAGAGGCAGATGTGGGATGATCAGTGTAGTGGAGCTGCATATTAATGAGTGACAGTGGGAATGGCTGTGCTGTTTCTGTCCAGGAGAGGGCGCCGTATGCGAATAAAAGGAGGAGAGCAAAAGCTGAAAGACAAGCGGGAGTTTGTGTGCTGATTACTGGCGCTACACAACTAGATATATGACAATTATGAGCATTATTATTGAGTTATGCTCACTGTGTTTCTGTGTTTATTCAGTTAAGGACTTAAAATCTTCTCATTTTAAACTAATGTGTCGGTATTGTTTGTTTGAGCCTACTTCTTATTTATTTTACTTTTAATCATTTAATTTGTATTTAAACACAGTTCTGGATGTCCATATGCTTGAATCTCCTCATCATGTCCACATCAGCAGCTCAGGTAGCATTATTAACTAATAATTCAACAGGTCAGTCTGACACTGACATCTAGTGGAGGAACTGAGGAAAACATCTGCATTACAGGAGACAGCAGATCAGAATAACGATGATAATATAATAATAATAATAATAATAATAATAATAATAATAATAATAATAATAAAGTAATAGTGATAATAATGATGATGATGATAATAACGATGATAATAATACCAATAATATTACTAATAATAATAACAACCATAATATTATTAATAATAATGATATATATATATATATATATATATATATATATATATATATATATATATATATATATATATATATATATATATATACTAATAATAGTGATGATTATATAAAAAAAAAATAATAATGATAACACTACCTGCACACAAATAAAGCAGATTCAACATGAAGGAATGGAGCTCAAATACAGTCTAGAAACATGGAGATGATGTTGGAGATCATGTGCCAAATGAAAAAGACATTTCTATAAAGCAAGACATGACAAAACTGGGCCTCAAATGAGTTGAAGAGACAAATGAAGATGATGATTGTAAGTTGTAACACAAACAGACAGTGCTGTAATTCTCCCACTGCAGTCTTCTCTTTCCTCCACAAACACAGCCTATTTTCCTGCTCTCTTTCTTTCTTTCTTTCTTTCTCTCTTTCTCTCTTTCTTTCTCTCTTTCTTTCTTTCTCTCTTTCTTTCTTTCTTTCTTTCTTTCTTTCTTTCTTTCTTTCTTTCTTTCTCTCTTTCTTTCTTTCTTTCTTTCTCTCTTTCTCTCTTTCTTTCTTTCTTTCTTTCCTTCTTTCTTTCTTTCTCTCTTTCTTTCTTTCTTTCTTTCTTTCTTTCTTTCTTTCTTTCTTTCTTTCTTTCTTTCTTTCTTTCCTTCTTTCTTTCTTTCTCTCTTTCTTTCTTTCTTTCTTTCCTTCTTTCTTTCTTTCTCTCTTTCTTTCTTTCTTTCTTTCTTTCTTTCTTTCTTTCTTTCTTTCTTTCTTTCTTTCTTTCTTTCTTTCTTTCTCTCTCTCTTTCTTTCTTTCTTTCTTTCTTTCTTTCTTTCTTTCTTTCTTTCTTTCTGTCTTTCTTTCTTTCTTTCTCTCTTTCTCTCTTTCTTTCTTTCTTTCTTTCTTTCTTTCTTTCTTTCTTTCTTTCTTTCTTTCTCTCCTTCAGAACAGCTGCTTTGTCCTCTTTCCAGTGCAGTAATATTCCAGCTGTGTTTGTTCTGCTCTAAATCTCTCCAATTCTCCACACTAAAGTCCTGAATCTGCGCATTTGAGGGAAACTTGTGCTCCTGAAATGCTGCAGTGATGCTGCTGTGATTTCTGCCTGTTTGTGTTGATCTTTATTCCTGAAGGCTCTTTTTCTTCTTCTGCACACATTAAGCTCTTCTGCTGACGGCGGCGTAAGTCACTGAGTCATTACCATCATCATCCTGAGAAACAGATTCAGCTCATCATCATCATCATCATCATCATCATCATCATCATCATCACACACACACACACACACTGATTGTGCTGAATCTACTCACACTGGCTGATTTCTCCGGCTTTTTCCCAGCACAAGTGACCTCAGAATAAGTGACTGAATCCTCCGTCTGCTCCTAAACACAATGCAGAAGAGCAGAATCAAGCTGAATCCACTCAATCCGCCTGAAGATGTGGAGAAATCACTGATTTGGGCCACTCACATGGGCTCTGGCAGCAGGATTAATGGACATGTGGATTGTTTGATAGTGGACTTGATTCTCATCTTTGACCTTTACACAACAAACACTGCATGAGGGACACTTTACTGAGCTTTAAACACACTAAATCAATCAGTCCATCTAAATGACTGGCGTTACTGAACTCACCGCTGATTCACCGCTCGCTCTTTGATGAGCTGCTGAGGATTGAGGAGAAAACACAACAGAAAGTCTACTGGTTTCCATTACAGACAGCATTAAAAGATCCCAGAGCATCAGATTTGAGGCATTAAAAGCAGCACATTGTCCTGGTTTGTGCTGTGTTTGGCCACATTCTCCATTAGGATCGACTGCTTTTAACAGGCCACCAATAGAAGGCAGAAAATGAGGCACATGAGCAATAGAGTCTCCATTAAAAGCAATGGAATCTCCATTGTGCGCATTGTGAGCAGTAGTTTGCCATGAGCTCTTCTTCAGTGGTGTTTTGTTGTTTGCTCAGGGATCAGGAATGTTGCTCTTGTTTTCTGCTCATTAAAGTCAAGTGTTTGTAATTGGAGTAAATGTGAGACTCACCAGCTCTTCTTCTGCGCTGGATCAAACACAGAACAGCAGCGATGAAAACAGCCAAAGCAGCAGCAGAAAGCAGAACTGAAAGCACTGAACAACAGAAGCACTCAGTCAGATAAAGAGCATTCAGGACTACAACACACTAACTCAACAATGAAGACTGAGTCTCCCGCATGACCAGCAGATGTCCACAGTCATGCATATATAGGCAACACACACACACTCTCTCTCTCTCTCTCTCTGAACTGTCATGTTAATTTCGTTCTGATTGTAAACAGTATCAGCATCTTTATCTATATTGTATATTTCCTTGAGGTAAATGACTCTTAATGCACATTTTGTTTAAAAAAAAAACAGACAAATCTATTAAGGGGGTAACATCCTCAATTACATCATCATCATCATCATCATCATCATGTACCTGTTGTTATTGAGGCTCCTGCTGGTTGTATAGTTGTGTTTGTGTTTGTTGGAGTCAGGGCTGGTGTTTTAGCTGCAGCTGTAAAAGATGAACATTATTGAATCAGATATGACCGTCATTCATAGTTTAAATAGTCAAAAACACTCCAGATAACTCATAAATACTCAACAATTCACAAATACTCATAATACTAATAAACTTATAATACAGCACTGATGTCTGTCAGACAGTGTTCAGACCTGGTGAAGCAGCTCTGGGGTTTTTTGTTTTCTTGTTTGTGTTGTGTTCTGGAGTCGCTGCTGCTGCTGCTGCTGTTGTTGTTGTTGCTGTTGTTGTTGTTGTTGTTGTTGTTGTTGCTGCTGTTGTTGTTGTTGTTGTTGTTATTGCTGTTGTTGTTGTTGTTGTTGTTGTTGTTGTTGTTGCTGCTGCTGTTGTTGTTGTTGTTGTTATTGCTGTTGTTGTTGTTTTGTCTTCAGCTGTAGGAGATGAAGGTAAATATGAATCATACTGTATCAGAACATCAGTTTAATAACTCATCAACACACACTATAACCTTTAGTTGTCTCTGCTGGTTTTTCTGTTTTTGGTTGCGACTCTGCTTTAGGATCTCGAGCTGTAAGAGAAAACAAAACACACAGAGTAGATGTTTGCAAAACAATTAACTAAAGTGATGGAGGTTTACTTTACCTACAGGTGAGTGAGCTGTCTAATATAAATCACCAGAGTAACCCATATATAATCTAGGCTAAACTATAATTAACAATAGAGACCAGCAGAGATGTGTTGTGTGTATTCTGAAGCTATAATGTAAATGTAAACACAGTCAGGGGTTAATATCCACCTCTGCATGAACAGATGATGTTTCACGAGTTCACACTTGCATTCGTTTAAGTATAAAGCATATTTGGCGTGCTGTCCGGGGGGAGGGCTCTGAGCCCGAGGAGACACCCCAACTCGAGTTATTCCCTTTATCAGGAAACAAAGAGGAGTTGGGATTCGAGTGAAGTATTTAGCCCGGCCCCAGAACGCTCCCCAAAAAAATGCTATTTGGTTACAGGACAGCAGCCAGACAATGTGCAAGCCCCCCAAAATTTGCTGATCTTAAAAATTTGGAGGGGTGCTGTTGAGTTATAAGGTATGTGTTTCGGGAGGAAGCATTTGCTGTGTTGATAGTGGTGCATGATGAAAATCTTCAGCAAGAGTGTCCGCTCCCACTGGAGACGGGCGTCTTCCGTAGGAGTGGTCACTGTATTAGCAATGGTGTGTGTTAAAGTATGCATCCCCGTAATAGCTGTCACTGTGCTGACAGCGGTGTATGATGAGGTATGTGTCTCTCATAGGAGTGGTCACTGCGCTTGCAGTGGTGTATAATAATAAGGTATACGTCTCCCGTAGGAGCGGTCACTGCGCTTGCAGTGGTGCATAATTATGAGGTGTACGTCTCCCGTAGGAGCGGTCACTGCGCTTGCAGTGGTGCATAATAATGTGTACGTCTCCTGTAGGAGCGGTTACTGCACTTGCAGTGGTGCATTATTATGAGGTGTACGTCTCCTGTAGGAGTGGTCACTGCGCTTGCCGTGGTGCATAATTATAAGGTGTGCGTCTCCCGTAGGAGCGGTCACTGCACTTGCAGTGGTGCATAATTATGAGGTGTTCGTCTCCTGTAGGAGCAGTCACTGCGCTTGCAGTGGTGCATTATTATGAGGTGTTCGTCTCCTGTAGGAGCGGTAACTGCACTTGCAGTGGTGCATTATTATGAGGTGTTCGTCTCCTGTAGGAGCAGTCACTGCGCTTGCAGTGGTGCATAATTATAAGGTGTGCGTCTCCCGTAGGAGCGGTCACTGTACTAACAGGCGTTAGTGGAGGCGGCCTCATGCTGGAACTTGCGTCGGGGCCTGAAAGAAAGTTGGGGACTAGAACCGTTTGTGGAGGCGTGCTCGCGCTACTGATGGCCCTAGGATCACAGGTGGGAGGAAAAGAGAAGACGGGCTGCCAGCGTTAGTGATGTCAGCGGAGGCAGCCTCGCGCTGGCACTTACGTCGGGGCCTGACAGAAAGTTGGGGACTAGAGCCGTTTGCGGAGGCATGCTCGCGCTACTGATGACTCTAGGATCAAAAGCTACCGGCGCTAGTGACATCAGCGGAGGCGGCCTCACACTGGAACTTGCGTCGGGGCCTGAAGAAAGTTGGGGGCTAGAGCCGATTGCGAAGTCCATTTTAGGATTCTAAATGCAGGCTATCCTTCTAAAGATTTTTCAGATGTCGATTTAGTTTTGATGAAAACAATTGTTCATTCTGTGATGATCAAATTGAAACTACAGATCGTCTTTTCTTTGTTATTGGTTATAGGTTTAAATGCTCTAACAAAGGAAAATGTACTGTTTGGTTTATTTTGGAAAGATGAAACACATGATTCAGCAGTAAACACCATTATTATTAAAGTTTGCTTTTTCCATTGGAGGTGCGTGGCATGCGCACTCAAGCGATGTGATGCGCTCGCGCCAATGACTCCCATGAGCTCACCGCGAGTAACGTGACAAGAATTGACCCATCAGCTCCAGCTTGTATGGGATATTCACATTTCAGTAAGTTCTAACACAGAACACCCAAACACTGCAGAGCTTTGTCATTTTTCTGATAGATTAAACTTATATCAGAGTGACAGCAATGTTTTGTCAGCTTGTCATTCTCTACAACCCACGAACGAAGGCCAAAGGCTTACACTTCTCAGTTACAAATGATCTACTGATTTGCCTTTATATTGTACATTAGGTTATTGTTTCATAAATTGTATTATATTGTTGCATATATATATATATATATATATATATATATATATATATATATATATATATATATATATATATATATATATATAGTTGTATTATATTGTTGCATAAAGATATCTAGATATGTCAGTAAACATAACAGTTTGTTTGAAAACAAAATTTTTGTCATCATTACAGCAAACTTATATGAGTGATAATATCATTAAATGTAGAGGGGGCCTCACAATATTTTCCTGGGGAAAAGGGGTCTCAGGCAAAAAAAAAAAAAAAGGGTTGTGAACCACTGCTCTAGTGTCTGTAAACATTTAACCATGTTTTATAGGATGGATAATGAGAAACACATGCTGCCAGTGTTCTTTAGTTAGAGTTAATGTGTAAATGTAAGCTGATATAAACAGATATATATTCATCACAATAGCAGCTTCAGTTCACAACTGTAATGTACAATGTCATAAAGTTTCATCTGAATAAATAAATACACTTTTACTGAAAATCAAGATCAATATATATTCTGTATTTATATTAAACATGTAGAATATCAGCAGTTATGAACAGACTCAGCGCTGGACAGTCAGTATGTCTGGATGAGCCGGGTCAGTGTGAGAGATGCTCAGACAGCAGAAAGGATTGTCAGTGCTGGATCATCACTACAGGTTATAGTTTGACCTGAACATTTATCAGTATGTGTGTAAATGAGATCTTACAATCAAGAAGCAGCACGACTGACACAGATAACAGTGTTTGAGTGAGGAAAAGGAAGCAGATGAAAACATACAGAGAGTGAGAATGAGAGGATGATCATGTGATGTGTGACGTCACTGTGAGGGTTAGAGTTAGTGTCAGGTGTTCACATTACACGTGTGCATATCTGAGTGTGCATGTGCCAGAGACAGAGCCTTCTCTATTATTATCCCCCATAACTAATACATTAACATGATGAATTAAGACAATACTGTAGAGTGACTCTTCTGTCAGGTTTACTGTGGTTCAGTGATGTTAATGTGAGTGTTAAAGTGTCTGATGATTCTCTGACCTGAATAGTGGACAGTAAACGTGTCTGAGGTCTTCAGTTGATTTCTCTGATAGACTCCACATCTCCACTGTTTATCTTCATCTTCACTGATGAGTGTTGTAGACAGACTGATGATACAGCCTGTAGAAGAGATCTGATATCTGGAGTCTGTGTTCAGATCAACACCAGCCCCATTCACCCAGGACAGATGAAGATCCTCAGAACTGAACAAGTCACCACAGGAGACTTCATAATATGAGAACAGCCGACAGGAGAGAGTCAGAGAGAGACCCGGACCAATATCAGATGAAGATGAAGATGATGAAGATGATGATGATGATGATGATGATGATGATGATGATGATGATGGAGAGACTGAAAGTGAACAGAAGACACAAATCACTAATCATGAGCTGAAACACAGAATTCAGCCCTGATTAAACTCAACACGTGAGGAGGAAATTACCAGCAACAACATGCAGATACACAACTGAATCAGCTCCATACTGGTGTCCTCCTTCTCCACTCCACTGTTGGCAGGTGTAACGTTCAGCATCTTCTGTTGTGACTCTACTGATGATCAGAGAGCAGTCAGAGCCCAGATTCAGTCTCTCTGGGGTTGTCCGTTTTACTCCTAAATTAATCAGTGTGTCTGTCCATGACTGTGTGTATTTGCTGTAGAGCCATGTAGTTCCTGATGTTCTGCAGTACTGATCAGTGTTTCTACAGGGCAGATGAACAGTTTCTCCAGATCTGCTGAACACATGAGTGTCCTCTTCGCCAAACACACCTGAAACACATTTAATGTCATATTTAACTGCTCAAAAATAATTAATTAATTAAAACAGCAAATAATGATGTTATTTAACACTCAATTGCACACAGTAGACATTTTACTGCTTTTAATTTTTCCCCCAAAATTATTTGCTGTTAGAAATATATAGTAAATATAGTAGTTTGGTTCACTTTCCAAATCTTTTATAAAGAGCAGAACACTGCATCATTCATTTATTTTCTTGTCGGCTTAGTCCCTTTATTAATCCAGAGTCGCCGCAGCAGAATGAACCGCCAACTTATCCAGCACATTTTTACACAGTGGATGCCCTTCCAGCCGCAACCCATCTTTGGGAAACATCCACATACATTAATGCACTATGAACAATTTAGCCCACCCAATTCTGTACCGCATGTGTTTGGACTGTGGGGGAAACCGGAGCACCCGGAGAAAACCCACACGAACGCAAGGAGAACATGCAAACTCCACACAGAAACACCAACTGACCCAGCCGAGACTCAAACCAGCGACCTTCTTGCAGTGAGGCGACAGCACTACCTACTGCACCACTGCTTCGCCCCAACACTGCATCAGAGTTTTAGAAGATATTTGTGACGCTGGACCACAACACCAGTCATATCAGTCTAACTGTTTAAAAGGAGATTTGTACGTCTTTTGAAAGCTGAATAATATTTTGATTTTAACTTTCCATTGATCTACACCTTATTATAAGACAACATTTGCCCAAGAAACAACTAATTATAATCTGGAACTAATTAAAAGCTTCCAAACAATATAAATATTGAGAAAATAAAAAGCAAATCAGCAATGCAAATTACTCACAAAAATATAATTTGAAATATTTACAGTAGAAAATCTTTTTAAATAGCATTCTTAAATGTTGCATAAACTTATCGCAAGACACTGAAGTCCAGAGTCACACACTGACTGACAATCCATTACTGCAAACCTCACAGCCTCCTAAAACAGCCAGAATAATGAGCTGAAGTGCTGAGTTTATAATCTTGTAGATGATGAACAGCAGTGTTTACCTGTGCTGAGTGTCCAGAAGATGAGCAGCAGAAACAGAGGACTCCTATCAGCCATTCTGTGTGTCTGACACTCGTCTTCTGCTTTATATATATATATATATATATGTTGAGCTCTTGTTTAAACAGCAGCAGCTCTTCCTGTGCTTCTGCAGCTTCCTCTCAGATCAGCCTCACTCTTTGTCTTCCTGACACTACACCAGTTTATAGTGGACAACTCAACACACTTCAGCCAATCAGCTCAGCAGCAGTGTTTGAGTTCAAGTCCAGGATTAATCTTGACATGAAGAATGCAGAAATCAACTCTTGACTGTTTTGAACTCTTCTGATCGGACTCAACATGTACAGAGACACAAACACAATCATCAGATTCATTTAGAAGAGTTTCAACACTTCATCCACTGAAGAGAATGGAGAGTTATTAGACTACAAAATTAAAGACAGGACACTTTATTTACAGCACAGTTTATTATATATATATTAACATTAAACTGGAGTGGAAAATGTGTGTGAGGTGATGAACATCCTGTGAGTAATCTAGTGTGTGTGACGTGATGCTCATGTTCACTTCAGGGTCAGTGTGAGTGAATCCAGCATGAGGATTATTAGCTGAGAGGTTCTGCTCCATCTGTCCAATAACACGTCTCACTGAATTCAGATCTGCTGGATCTCCCCTGAGACAGATTGTAAGTGTTTTCACTTGTACATAAATATCCTAAAAGCTCAGTATTCTGCTCACAGATATAAACAGATCATTTCCCAAAGATGGGTTGCAACTGGAAGGGCATCCGCTGCGTAAAAAACGCGCTGGATAAGTTGGCGGTTCACACCGCTGTGTCGACCCCAGATTAATAAAGGGACTAAGCCGAAATAAGAATGAATAAACAGATCAGTCAGATCATAGTTTCCTCACAGCAGGTGAATCTGCTTCAGAGATGATCAGATGTGCTCCAACATGAGGAATCAAGACTGAAGACACTGTTTCTGTGTGTCTGTGCATTTAATGCATGAGCTCTGTGCTGATCACACTGTTTATATGTGCTTTATAGTCTTTTAAAACTCTTTTCATACACTTAATTTCTTTAATTAGTTTGATTCTTTGCTGTTTTAATTGTTTTATACATATTTTGTGATTATTAAACACATTCTCTTATGTAAACTGATATTGTGCATTAGATGTGCTGATATAGAGACCTGGTGTTTTCAGAGCTGTGATCTCACTCTTGTGGTTTACTCCTGTTGTTCTTAGGTGTCAAAACCGAGTTATTTTTACCACACTGGTTTCACACACACATTTCCCCACACACTCCAGCTAACCAGACTACACATGTGTTAAAGTCTTCTCTTGATGTAGGTTTTCTGAGAACACAGATGTGAAGCAGGAACACAGAGAGAGGACGGACAAACAGATAACCTTTATTTGTTATTGTAAATGAATTTTAAACTGACCGAGACTTAAATGCAGAGAGCGTCTTCTGAGCACAGGTATCTATGCCACATGTGTTGTTGAAGAGTTTTGTTAAAGGCCACTGGCTCTGCCCAGATCCAACAAAATTACTGAAAGAATTGTGACTGTTATAGGAGAACCTCTTCTTAACGTTATCAACTCTTCTCTATCTCTAGGCCTTGTTCTAAACCCTTTCAAGGGCTTTTATTAAGCTTATTATTAACAAACCTGGAAAACCAGCAACCTAGCTAAATACAGGCCTATTATAAATCCTCCATTTATGTCTAAAATACTAGTAAAAGTTGTTTCTACTCAATTATGCTTCTTTCTGCAGATGAACAATGTTTTTGAAGTGTTTCAGTCAGGTTTCAGGGCTCATCACAGTACAGAAACCGCATTAGTGAAAATAACCAATGATTTACTCTTAGCTGCTGACCGAGGGTGCGTCTCGCTATTAGTTCTGCTCGATCACAACATTTGATGGTTTAAATCATACTTAACTGACCGTTACCAGTGTGTGAATATAAATGGACGCCTTCACAAGTCAGCCCAGTGCAGTATGGGGTGCCTCAAGGATCAGTTTTAGGCCCTTTACTGTTTACAATCTACATGCTGCCACTGGGAGACATTATTAGAAGACATGGGATCAGCTTTCACTGCTATGCAGATGATACTCAATTATATATTTCAACTAAACCTGACGACCGTCTGAACTGTCTAAACTAACTGAGTGTATTAGAGATGTTCAAGACTGGATGACCAACAATTTCCTTCTCTTAAACTCAGACAAAACAGAATTATTACTTATTGGGCCTAAATCCTGCACACAGCAGATCTCACAACTCAATCTACAATTAGAGGATACAGAGTTAGCGTTAGCTCTACTATAAAAGATCTGGGTGTTATATTAGACAGCAGTTTAACTTTTGAAGATCATATATCCCATGTCACTTTCATCTGAGAAATATAGCTAAATTACAAAGTATGCTATCCATCTCAGATGCAGAAAAGCTAGTCCATGCTTTTATGAGCTCTAGGCTGGATTACTGTAATGCTCTATTTGCTGGCTGCCCAGCATCCTCTATTAAAAAACTTCAGCTAGTACAACATGCTGCAGCCAGAGTTCTGACCAGCTCTAGAAAATATGATCATATCAGCCCAATGTTCTCCTCCTTACACTGGCTGCCTGTTCAGTTTCATATTGAATTTAAAATATTACTTCTCACCTATAAAGCTCTAAATAATACTGTTTATCTAACCAAACTTCTGTCCCGCTACAATCAAACTCACTCTTCAAGATCTCAAAACTCAGGGCTTCTGGTAGTGCCTAGAATAGCAAAGTCTACTAAAGGAGGTCGACCCTTCTACTTTATGGCTCCTAAACTCTGGAATAGCCTTCCTGATAATGTCCGAGGCTCAGACACACTCTCTCAGTTCAACACTAGATTAAAGACCGATCTGTTTAGTAAAGCATACACTCAGTGCATCACCCAACAGTATGAAGCATGAGTGTGCACCACACAGGTGAGCTGGCTTGACATCCACCTGTAGGACACACTGCTCCTTAATACAACAGACATTGTGTTAGAAACTCTCATATGCTTTACATGTTTGTTTCTATATTTGATTATATAACTGCTATTTTCATTTATAACACTTCATTTCTGCATCTTGTTTCAATACACTATCAACAGCAGCTACGTTCATTATTTTCTTTATTCTCTATTTCCACCTGAGGATACTCATCCTGAGGCACCTAGAGGCTATGCAGCACCATTGATGGGATCCAATACCTGTGGAGAAATGATGCCAAGCTATCCATAATCCTGGAGCAGGCCGTATCCTGTGGTGATGCTGTGGTGTCATGGAGAAATGGAGTGCATGAGACTGATTCCTGAAAGACCACAGTGACAAACGAGTCCCGCATTGTTTCTGTGGGCCAGCCTGACCTCCCGCCAGTGACCGACTCACACCTGTGGTTCTCATGATGGATGTCCATCTTCTCCAGCTTTCCACGTCTAGACTGCAGCTCCACACAGGAAGTTTGGCCAGAAGAATAATGGTCGTGCCCAACAGAGCCTGGTTTCACATGAGAGTGAAGCATCTGGTGATTTACTAGCACTGAATTTAGGACTTATTAAGACCCTCTCACACTTTGAACATGATTAATATGTTTTGTGTTTACCCATTCTACAGTGATGCAAAGCTCATTGATATTCAATTATTGCGTGATCATTCAAGTGTTATTCAAGTGTCTCACATACAGTGGAGCATCATCAGTGACAGTATTCTCTAAGCTGTGGACATATGATCTGCCTTGTGAACCTCATCTTATGTCTGAAGCTAACAGAGGTCTTTTCAGTGGAGCAGATAAAAGACTTAGAGAGGATCTAATGCACATGAACATTTCCCAAAGTGCAATGAGACGTGCAACATGTTTGATCAATGCACTGGACTTTGTCTTCCTATGGACTGAATACCATCACAGATGGACACAAATCCAACAAAGCTGATTGCGGATATTCCTGAGCAGCCACTTGAGCACAAGCTTAACACCATATCCCTACACCTAAAGACACTGTAAAGTTCAGTGATGTAACTCTATCTTAATCTTGAACCTGCTTTTAATGTTTGATTTCAGGTGATGGCATTGCTTCTACAACCAGCATCATCGCTCGCCAAAGCCATCCAAAGACTATGATCTTGTGGCCCCTTAGAGACTGCTCAAATGTTTCAACCTGAATCACTTTGCTGGATCCTCCTTATCCTTTATAACAGGGGTCACCAATTCTGGTCCTGGAGGGCCGGTGTCCCTGCAGGGTTTAGTTCCATCTTGCCTCAACACACCTGCCTGGATGTTTCAAGTATACCCAGTAAGACCTTGATTAGCTTGTTCAGGTGTGTTTGATTAGGGTTGGAGCTAAAATCTGCAGGACACCGGCCCTCCAGGAACAAGTTTGGTGACCACTTCTCTATAATCTCCCCCTCATTCTTCATCTTTTAGATAATTGCCTGCTCATCGCTTGTCCTAATTCTACTTCTGAACATCTATTCTTCAAGCATAATGTTCCCCTTTCAGCAGAACATTATAGGATTTCTAGGGATTAAATTGTGCAAAAACATGCAAGCCTCCCCAAACCATACTTTCACCCATAATTTATGTTTCATCAGCACAAAAGATGATGTAAACAGACTCAAATAGGGTCCTTACAGAATTTAATTTATTTACAGAAATATAATATAGATATATATACGTTGGAACAGTCACTGTCAAATTCATCTTTAATCTACAGAAATAATTACAGACACTGACAAACAGTCACTTAAGGGTCTAGAGAATCTGTCATAATGTTAAACTCTAATAATATAAAGACCAGAATGATGAGGAAACACATAAAAACACAAAGTAAATGAATTGTATTACGCAGTTAATGATAAAGTAAACATTAGCAAACAAATAAACAGCACAGGGCAGCTCAGTTCTCTATGAGTGTAATCGCAGTTCATGCTGTGCATCATTTCATGTTGTTTTTTACTGACAGCATTGAGTAATTTGGCTGTTAATAAAAACAAAATACAATATTTGGAATTATTATTATAATATTTTTTTTGGCAGAGGATTTCTTTGTTTGTTTCTCTGAGCAATATCTGGCAACACTGCATCATCTGTGCTTAAAAATGAACAATAATCAAAACAGAAGCGCGAGGAGAACACAACCAGCAAAACAAGAATAACCATCATGATAATGTATGTACAACACTGTCAAAGACCATCAAAACTGCATCATGACAGCTCAGTGTTCAACAACTAATCAGGAGAATAGCAGAAGTTCATCAAGCATTCATATACAGGCATTCATCATTCATACAAGAAATCTCATTTAAGAAAATGATTCAAGCTAAATGTTGCTGTTTTCCTACTTAAAAGCAAATCCTGGCGATGGCCATCATTATACTGGTTTAAAATCTCATATCCCTGTAAATGATCTGTCCGTTTTTCAAAACTGTGTAGATGAGAAGAGCAGAGGAGTGTGTAGACTGAGCTGAAGCTGCTGCTGGTGTTGTGAAGAGCGCTGGAGTCACTGCTGTTTAATCACACAGAATGTCTCTGCTTCAGCTTTAGCTGTAAAACATCAACATTAGCTCTGATAAATCACACTGGACAACATGACAATCACAGTAGAACTAGTCAACACACAAGACAACTCCAGTATTGCCCACTATAAAGCACAGAAGTGCTCAACACACAGATCAGACCTGCTGTAGAAGATCCTGCTGGGTTTGAACTTTGTGGATCTTCACAGTTTGTGTTTCTGATCTCAGATTTACTCATTTAGTGGATTTTTAAACAGAGCATCTGCAGCGCGAGAATGAGAGATGAGCCTCCTCATTATTTACTTTCACTTTCACTCTCGTGGATAGGGAAACGTGTTGTACACAGACATCCATTAGCCTATATATAATTAATTTAGTTTGTTAAGCGCAAAGATTTGTGTCAAAACTATTTCTAAATTCAGTTCTAATTTCCAGCAAACGAATAAATGAACAATAATAATAAAGTGTGGTCAGAATACTGAGTTATATCCTAAAATACATGCTGTGCCCTATATGGTCTAAAACCTGACAGGTGGACAAATCTAGGCTTGTTTTTAATAAAACAAATATAAATATGAATATAATAAATAATACAGCTAATAATAATAACATTATACAAAAGCAAATTGTCATGAATAAACTGAAAAAGCCGAAGGCATGGAGGCGGTGGTGTTTATATTGATGTAGGCTAGAAAATAACATGTTTTGTAATGTTTTAATCCTTTAATTATTCTTCATTTGCACAGATATTTCTGTAATGCTGTACATCCTGTGTGTTTTAGCACAACTAACACGCTCTGCACTGGACTTTACACCTCCTCTCAGCTGGTCTATTGAACAGTCTGTTATAGTTCCTCAAAATAGCAAAGCTCCAGCGATGCGCCTTAACACACCTCTTACCTGGACTGAAAGACCATGAGTCCACAAAGTGGTGCAAATAGATTTGCTATATTAAAACAACACGGCGAAATATGGGAGATTAGTGTCTGAAAAGAGCAACACGTCATAGAAACACGTCTTGCGTCTTATTGTGTCGAGTATATGATCGGGCTCTGAGGCTTCAACACCAGCGCAGATGTTTGGAAACACTGATCTGAAGCGTTATGAAACACACAGGTCATGTGACTAAAGCAATTCAAAGGCTCAGAGTATTTCACAAGCGTTTTGAGACCTGCTGTATCTGCATGTGATTGCCAGTATATACAGCAGTGGACCCTTATTCCAGTCCTCAGGACCCCCACCTGCACATTTGTATGTGTCTCTTATTTGACATGAGGATCAGTTCATGGATCTCTCTGTTAATGAGCTGATGATCTGAATCAGGTGTGTTGAGGAGTCATATAAGATGTGCAGGGTGGGGGTCCTGACCACTGGAATTGGGAACCCCTGATATACAGTAACATACAGTCCAATGTGCTGCGGGTGTCCCGAGTGTGAATGCAGGCTTGTGCAGATATTCAGAAATGTTGACTTAATGTCTTTATGCTTTTATGATCAATATAACACATATTTAGTCACTAAGAGTTCATTCACATGTCAGATTACAGACATTATAGATCTTCAATATAGACTATAGTTGCTCCACCGTGGATTTGACTCAGATGTGTCTGCATGTCAGTCAGGAGCATTAACCACTGCAATCAGTCTCTTGATATCCTCAGTCAACATGGGTCATGATCGCTCACTTCACTGCTTCTTCAAGTGTTTTAGAGTAATCCCTGAAAATGAGCACTGAATGTCCCTGTAGAGACAGGTCTCCAAACACCTCGGGGTTTCACAACGCCTCGCTCTGCCCAACACTATCTAGACCAGGAGTGTCCAAACTCGGTCCTGGAGGGTCGGTGTGCATATTATAGTTCCTAAAATGAAGCTAAACTTTGCTGGACACCGACCCTCCAGTACTGAGTTTGGACACCCCTGAACTAGAATGAGATATAATTGTTAACAGAAAGTTGCTAATCACCCCACACACACACCAGACAGAAAACACACACACACACACACACACACACCAGACAGAAAACACACACACACACCAGACAGAAAACACACACACACACACAGGTGGTATACATCCACCTGCCTCCATGTGGTCAAACACCCAGAAATGCAAATAGAAAATGAAAGACAAGCATGAACAGCACACACACTCATCATCATCATCATCATCATCATCATCATCATCATCATCATCATCATCGTCGTCATCATCATCATCATCATCATCATCATCATCATCATCATCATGTACCTGTTATAGAAGTGCAGTTTGTGCTGTGGTCTGGAGTCTCTGCTGCTGCTGTTTGAGCTCCAGCTGTAAAAGATGAAGATCAGATTAAACACTGCAGAACATCACAGCTGAACTAGTTATCTCCAGTATTGAACTCTGTAAATCAGTGATGTGAGATGAACACTGCTCCACCTTCAGTTGTGTCTGCTGCTGGTTCAGTCTGTGGTGTTGGCTCTGCTTTAGCTGTGAGATCTGGAGCTGTAAGAGATGATGGAGATGATCATTCAGCTCAATCACACTCCACTAAACTCACACTCTGACCATTTTGGTAAAAGATTTGAGTAATAAAGGATGTGTCTCTGACCTGAATAGTGGACAGTAAACGTGTCTGAGGTCTTCAGTTGATTTCTCTGATAGACTCCACATCTCCACTGTTTATCTTCATCTTCACTGATGAGTGTTGTAGACAGACTGATGATACAGCCTGTAGAAGAGATCTGATATCTGGAGTCTGTGTTCAGATCAACACCAGCCTCATTCACCCAGGACAGATGAAGATCCTCAGAACTGAACAAACCATCACAGGAGAGTCCAGAATATGAGAACAGCCGACATGAGAGAGTCAGAGAGAGACCCGGACCAATATCAGATGAAGATGATGATGATGAAGATGATGATGATGATGATGATGATGATGGAGAGACTGAAAGTGAACACAAGACACAAATCACTAATCATGAGCTGAAACACAGAATTCAGCCCTGATTAAACTGAACACATGAGGAGGAAATTACCAGCAACAACATGCAGAAACACATGTGAATCAGCTCCATACTGGTGTCCTCCTCGTCCACTCCACTGTTGGCAGGTGTAACGTCCAGCATCTTCTGTTGTGACTCTACTGATGGTCAGAGAGCAGTCAGAGCCCAGATTCAGTCTCTCTGAGTTTCTCTTCTTTACCCCTAAACCAATCAGCTGAACTGCTGCTGTCTGTCTGTATCTGCTGTAGGTCCATGTAGTTCCTGATCTGCTGCAGTGCTGATCAGTGTTTCTACAGGGCAGCTGAACAGTTTCTCCAGATCTGCTGAACACATGAGTGTCCTCTTCGCCAAACACACCTGAAACACATTTAATGTCATATTTAACTGCTCAAAAATAATTAACTAAAACAGCAAATAATGATGTTATTTAACACTCGCCGTTTGCGAAGTCCATTTTAGGATTCTAAATGCAGGCTATCCTTCTATAGAATTTTCAGATGTCGATTTAGTTTTGATGAAAACAATTGTTCATTCTGTGATGATCTGTGATGCCACAGCCATATCACCCTGCAGCCCAAGACCGGTTACTCACTAAAGCTAAGCAGGGCTGAGCCTGGTTAGTACCTGGATGGGAGACCACTAGGGAACACTAGGTTGCTGTTGGAAGTGGTGTTAGTGAGGCCAGCAGGGGGCGCTCAACCTGAGGTCTAAGTGAGTCCTAATGCCCCAGTAAAAAGTGAAGGGGACACTACACTGTCAGTGGGTGCCGTCTTTCGGATGAGACGTTGAACCGAGGTCCTGACTCTCTGTGGTCATTAAAAATCCCATGGCACTTCTCGTGAAAGAGTAGGGGTGTAACCCCGGTGTCCTGGCCAAAGTCCCTCTATCGGCCCATACGATCATGGCCTCCCAATCATCCCCTCTCCACCGAATTGGTTCTATCACTGTCTCTCCACTCCACCTATAGCTGGTGTGTGGTGAGCGCACTGGCGCCGTTGTCCTGTGGCTGCCGTCGCATCATCCAAGTGGATGCTGCACACTGGTGGTGGTGTGGAGAGACCCCCCCTCATGATTGTGAAGCGCTTTGGGTGTATGGCCATACACAATAAATGTGCTATATAAATACACATTACATTACATTACATCAAATTGAAACTACAGATCGTCTTTTCTTTGTTATTGGTTATAGGTTTAAATGCTCTAACAAAAGAAAATGTACTGTTTGGTTTATTTTGGAAAGATGAAACACATGATTCAGCAGTAAACACCATTATTATTAAAGTTTGCTTTTTCCATTGGAGGTGCGTGGCATGCGCACACAAGCGATGTGACGCGCTCGCGCCAATGACTCCCATGAGCTCACCGCGAGTAACGTGACAAGAATTGACCCATCAGCTTCAGCTTGTATGGAATATTCACATTTCAGTAAGTTCTAACACAGAACACCCAAACACTGCAGAGCTTTGTCATTTTTCTGATAGATTAAACTTATATCAGAGTGACAGCAATGTTTTGTCAGCTTGTCATTCTCTACAACCCACGAACGAAGGCCAAAGGCTTACACTTCTCAGTTACAAATGATCTACTGATGTTTTGCCTTTATATTGTACATTAGGCTATTGTTTCATAAATTGTATTATATTGTTGCATATATATATATTATATTGTTGTATTATATTGTTGCATAAAGATATCTAGATATGTCAGTAAACATAACAGTTTGTTTGAAAACAACATTTTTGTCATCATTACTGCAAACTTATATGAGTGATAATATCATTAAATGTAGAGGGGGCCTCACAATATTTTCCTGGGGAAAAGGGGTCTCAGGCATAAAAAAAATTTTTTTAAAAAGGGTTGTGAACCACTGCTCTAGTGTCTGTAAACATTTAACCATGTTTTACAGTATGGATGATGAGAAACACATGCTGCCAGAGTTCTTTAGTTAGAGTTAATGTGTAAATGTAAGCTGATATAAACAGATATATATTCATCATAATAGCAGCTTCAGTTTACAACTGTAATGTACAATGTCATAAAGTTTACTCTAAATAAATAAATACACGTTACTGAAAATCAAGATCAATATATATTCTGTATTTATATTAAATGTGTAGAATATCAGCAGTTATGAACAGACTCAGCGCTGGACAGTAAGTATGTCTGGATGAGCCGGGTCAGTGTGAGAGATGCTCAGACAGCAGAAAGGATTGTCAGTGCTGGATCATCACTACAGGTTATAGTTTGACCTGAACATTTATCAGTATGTGTGTAAATGAGATCTTACAATCAAGAAGCAGCACGACATCATCATCATCATCATCATCATCATCTTCATCATGAGAACGTGAGGGTTAGAGTTAGTGTCAGGTGTTCACATTACACGTGTGCATATCTGAGTGTGCATGTGCCAGAGACAGACCCTTCTCTATTATTATCCCCCATAACTAATACATTAACATGATGAATTAAGACAATACTGTAGAGTGACTCTTCTGTCAGGTTTACTGTGGTTCAGTGATGTTAATGTGAGTGTTAAAGGGGTGGTCCACTACGATATTATATTTTAAACTTCAGTTGATGTGTAATGTAGCTGTGTGAACATAAACAGCATCTCTGAATGTAAAATATTCAAAGTTTAATGCAAAGGGAGACCTTGATTTGTACAGAGTTAGCTTAGCAACGCCTACAATTAACGAATTTTGGGGACTACAAAAAATACTTCCGCCCCCTGTGAGATCACAAAAGTTCGTTATTGCGCATCCCACACTGCGCAGGTAAAGGCCGTGGCCAGAGGCGCTGTAACGTTACTGCAGAGAGAGAAATGCCATCCTGCTGTTTCCACAGAGCTGTTCTGTTTCTGTTGTTTGGCTTCCAAATGACACGACCCAAACACAGAAGTGCTTACAGTTCAATATTAATTATGTTCCAGAGAACTATAAAATACATAGCAAGCATGATTTGACAAAACACAGCTTCCAGAATCTCTCCCAGTTCAGTGCTGGATTCAGTTAAAATCTCCTCAAAGATGGAGCAAGGAGACGCTGTGAACTGAGTCATGACCTGTAAGTGTTTTTATTTGTTAAAATTGATCATGACATGTACAGTGTCTAACTTTAACGGTGTGTTGTAGCAAAGATGTAAACAACGGGAAATTATGGTAACCGCTAACGACTTAGCTAACGTTACAAATCCATATTTATCAAACGGCTGTAAACGCACACACACACATACACATACACGCACTCTTGGCCAGCACCTGCGTCTCTCTGTGTGAGACGGCAGAGTTTCTCTCTATAGGCAGCTATGCTATGCGTTTTACAACTCGGACAATAAAGTCGCAAAAGATATGTGAACGATTCATGTTACTTACACAGGCATATTCCGCATATGCATGAAAGACGTCCTGTAACGCATTGATTTAAAAAAAATACAGCAATGATTTCCCAACTGGAGTGTAACATCAAAAACAAATCAATCCAGGCTCACAAAGGTCTCATCTCACATCTTGTGCTTTATTCTGTCACCACAGAAAATAACTTAATCCGAGCATGAGAGAAAAAGAACAATAAAAATCTCTCCCGCGCACATGCGCTTCTCGTGTTACAAATACTTCATCGTATACACGCATAAACACACTAAAAGGCACAGAAACAGTTAAAGGAGCCGCATCCCATTTTCACTCGTTACAGACACGTGTTGACTGACTGACTGACTGTTTACACAAAACGCGCGTGCTTGTCAGGGCGTGACGTGAAGCCGATCGGCGTATCACAGCATATTATGATGATGACCAATCAGAGTCACTTGAGGGTGGGCCTTTTAGAGGAACTAGGAAATATGACAGTCGTTTTCATGTTAGCTGAGTAGCTGTGTATAATCAAAGTGAGATTTATGAAAAAATAACACGATTTCCTTCAAGTTAAACATGAGCACACATTGCTTTGCATCTTATTAACACAACCAAGCCTTAAAAATAACATTCTGGACCACCCCTTTAAAGTGTCTGATGTGTCTCTGACCTGAATAGTGGACAGTAAACGTGTCTGAGGTCTTCAGTTGATTTCTCTGATAGACTCCACATCTCCACTGTTTATCTTCATCTTCACTGATGAGTGTTGTAGACAGACTGATGATACAGCCTGTAGAAGAGATCTGATATCTGGAGTCTGTGTTCAGATCAACACCAGCCTCATTCACCCAGGACAGATGAAGATCCTCAGAACTGAACAATTCATCACAGGAGAGTCCAAAATATGAGAACAGCCGACAGGAGAGAGTCAGAGAGAGACCCGGACCAATATCAGATGAAGATGATGATGATGAAGATGATGATGATGATGATGATGATGATGGAGAGACTGAAAGTGAACAGAAGACACAAATCACTAATCATGAGCTGAAACACAGAATTCAGCCCTGATTAAACTGAACACATGAGGAGGAAATTACCAGCAACAACATTCAGATACACAACTGAATCAGGTCCATACTGGTGTCCTCCTCGTCCACTCCACTGTTGGCAGGTGTAACGTCCAGCATCTTCTGTTGTGACTCTACTGATGATCAGAGAGCAGTCAGAGCCCAGATTCAGTCTCTCTGAGTTTCTCTTCTTTACCCCTAAACCAATCAGCTGAACTGCTGCTGTCTGTCTGTAACTGCTGTAGGTCCATGTAGTTCCTGATGTTCTGCAGTACTGATCAGTGTTTCTACAGGGCAGATGAACAGTTTCTCCAGATCTGCTGAACACATGAGTCTCTCCTGCTCCAAACACACCTGAAACACATTTAATGTCATATTTAACTGCTCAAAAATAATTAATTAACTAAAACAGCAAATAATGATGTTATTTAACACTCAATTGCACACAGTAGACATTTTACTGCTTTTAATTTTTCCCCAAAAATTATTTGCTGTTAGAAATATATAGTAAATATAGTAGTTTGGTTCACTTTCCAAATCTTTTATAAAGAGCAGAACACTGCATCATTTATTTATTTTCTTGTCGGCTTAGTCCCTTTATTAATCCAGAGTCGCCGCAGCAGAATGAACCGCCAACTTATCCAGCACATTTTTACACAGTGGATGCCCTTCCAGCCGCAACCCATCTTTGGGAAACATCCACACACATTAATGCACTATGAACAATTTAGCCCACCCAATTCTGTACCGCATGTGTTTGGACTGTGGGGGAAACCGGAGCACCCGGAGAAAACCCACACGAACGCAAGGAGAACATGCAAACTCCACACAGAAACGCCAACTGACCCAGCCGAGACTCAAACCAGCGACCTTCTTGCAGTGAGGCGACAGCACTACCTACTGCGCCACTGCTTCGCCCCAACACTGCATCAGAGTTTTAGAAGATATTTGTGACGCTGGACCACAACACCAGTCATATCAGTCTAATTGTTTAAAAGGAGATTTGTACGTCTTTTGAAAGCTGAATAATATTTTGATTTTAACTTTCCATTGATCTACACCTTATTATAAGACAACATTTGCCCAAGAAACAACTAATTATAATCTGGAACTAATTAAAAGCTTCCAAACAATATAAATATTTTGTTAAGTTTTCAAAATAAAAAGCAAATTAGTGATGCAAATTACTCACAAAAATATAATTTGAAATATTTACAGTAGAAAATCAATAAAAAAATAAATAAAAAACATTGAAATTAAATCATCTTTTTAAATAGCATTCCTAAATGTTGCATAAACTTATCGTAAGACACTGAAGTCCAGAGTCACACACTGACTGACAATCCATTACTGCAAACATCACAGCCTCCTAAAACAGCCAGAATAATGAGCTGAAGTGCTGAGTTTATAATCTTGTAGATGATGAACAGCAGTGTTTACCTGTGCTGAGTGTCCAGAAGATGAGCAGCAGAAACAGAGGACTCCTATCAGCCATTCTGTGTGTCTGACACTCGTCTTCTGCTTTATATATATATATATGTTGAGCTCTTGTTTAAACAGCAGCAGCTCTTCCTGTGCTTCTGCAGCTTCCTCTCAGATCAGCCTCACTCTTTGTCTTCCTGACACTACACCAGTTTATAGTGGACAACTCAACACACTTCAGCCAATCAGCTCAGCAGCAGTGTTTGAGTTCAAGTCCAGGATTAATCTTGACATGAAGAATGCAGAAATCAACTCTTGACTGTTTTGAACTCTTCTGATGGGACTCAACATGTACAGAGACACAAACACAATCATCAGATTCATTTAGAAGAGTTTCAACACTTCATCCACTGAAGAGAATGGAGAGTTATTAGACTACAAAATTAAAGACAGGACACTTTATTTACAGCACAGTTTATTATATATATATATATATATATATATATTAACATTAAACTGGAGTGGAAAATGTGTGTGAGGTGATGAACATCCTGTGAGTAATCTAGTGTGTGTGACGTGATGCTCATGTTCACTTCAGGGTCAGTGTGAGTGAATCCAGCATGAGGATTATTAGCTGAGAGGTTCTGCTCCATCTGTCCAATAACACGTCTCACTGAATTCAGATCTGCTGGATCTCCCCTGAGACAGATTGTAAGTGTTTTCACTTGTACATAAATATCCTAAAAGCTCAGTATTCTGCTCACAGATATAAACAGATCATTTCCCAAAGATGGGTTGCAACTGGAAGGGCATCCGCTGCGTAAAAAACACGCTGGATAAGTTGGCGGTTCACACCGCTGTGTCGACCCCAGATTAATAAAGGGACTGAGCCGAAAAGAGAATGAATAAACAGATCAGTCAGATCATAGTTTCCTCACAGCAGGTGAATCTGCTTCAGAGATGATCAGATGTGCTCCAACATGAGGAATCAAGACTGAAGACACTGTTTCTGTGTGTCTGTGCATTTAATGCATGAGCTCTGTGCTGATCACACTGTTTATATGTGCTTTATAGTCTTTTAAAACTCTTTTCATACACTTAATTTCTTTAATTAGTTTTATTCTTTGCTGTTTTAATTGTTTTATACATATTTTGTGATTATTAAACACATTCTCTTATGTAAACTGATATTGTGCAGTAGATGTGCTGATATAGAGACCTGGTGTTTTCAGAGCTGTGATCTCACTCTTGTGGTTTACTCCTGTTGTTCTTAGGTGTCAAAACCGAGTTATTTTTACCACACTGGTTTCACACACACATTTCCCCACACACTCCAGCTAACCAGACTACACATGTGTTAAAGTCTTCTCTTGATGTAGGTTTTCTGAGAACACAGATGTGAAGCAGGAACACAGAGAGAGGACGGACAAACAGATAACCTTTATTTGTTATTGTAAATGAATTTTAAACTGACCGAGACTTAAATGCAGAGAGCGTCTTCTGAGCACAGGTATCTATGCCACATGTGTTGTTGAAGAGTTTTGTTAAAGGCCACTGGCTCTGCCCAGATCCAACAAAATTACTGAAAGAATTGTGACTGTTATAGGAGAACCTCTTCTTAACGTTATCAACTCTTCTCTATCTCTAGGCCTTGTTCTAAACCCTTTCAAGGGCTTTTATTAAGCCTATTATTAACAAACCTGAAAACCAGCAATCTAGCTAAATACAGGCCTACTTCAAATCCTCCATTTCTGTCTAAAATACTAGAAAAAGTTGTTTCTACTCAATTAAGCTTCTTTCTGCAGATGAACAATATTCATGAAGTGTTTCAGTCAGGTTTCAGAGCTCATCACAGTACAGAAACCGCATTAGTGAAAATAACCAATGATTTACTCTTAGCTGCTGACCGAGGGTGCATCTCGCTATTAGTTCTGCTCGATCTTAGTGCAGCATCTGACACCATCGACCACAATATCCTCATAAATCACTTAAAGTCTACAGGTGTCCAGGGACTGGCTCTACAATGGTTTAAGTCATTCTTAACTGACCGTTACCAGTGTGTGAATATTAATGGACGCCTTCACAAGTCAGCCCAGTGCAGTATGGGGTGCCTCAAGGATCAGTTTCAGGCCCTTTGCTGTTTACAATCTACATGCTGCCACTGGGAGACATTATTAGAAGACATGGGATCAGCTTTCACTGCTATGCAGATGATACTCAATTATATATTTCAACTAAACCTGACGAGACGTCTGAACTGTCTAAACTAACTGAGTGTATTAGAGATGTTCAAGACTGGATGACCAACAATTTCCTTCTCTTAAACTCCGACAAAACAGAATTATTACTTATTGGGCCTAAATCCTGCACACAGCAGATCTCACAACTCAATCTACAATTAGAGGATACAGAGTTAGCGTTAGCTCTACTATAAAAGATCTGGGTGTCATATTAGACAGCAGTTTAACTGTTGATAATCATATATCCCATGTCACAAAAACTGCCTTCTTTCATCTGAGAAATATCGCTAAATTACGAAGTATGCTATCCATCTCTGATGCAGAAAGCTAGTCCATGCTTTTATGAGCTCTAGGCTGGATTACTGTAATGCTCTATTTGCTGGCTGCCCAGCATCCTCTATTAATAAACTTCAGCTACTACAACATGCAGCAGCCAGAGTTCTGACCAGCTCTAGAAAATATGATCATATCACCCCAATGTTCTCCTCCTTACACTGGCTGCCTGTTCAGTTTCATATTGAATTTAAAATATTACTTCTCACCTATAAAGCTCTAAATAATCCTGTTTATCTAACCAACCTTCTGTCTCGCTAACTCGCTCTTTAAGATCTCAAAACTCAGGGCTTCTGGTAGTACCTAGAACAGCAAAGTCCACTAAAGGAGGTCGAGCCTTCTCCTTTATGGCTCCTAAACTCTGGAATAGCCTTCCTGATAATGCCCGAGGCTCAGACACACTCTCTCAGTTCAACACTAGATTAAAGACCGATCTGTTTAGTAAAGCATACACGTGGTGCATCACCTAACAGTATGAAGCATGAGTGTGCGCCACACAGGTGAGCTGGCTTGACAACCACCTGTAGGACACACTGCTCCTTAATACAACAGGCATTGTGTTAGAAACTCTCATATGCTTTACATGTTTGTTTCTATATTTGATTATATAACTGCTATTTTCATTTATAACACTTCATTTCTGCATCTTGATTCAATACACTATCAACAGCAGCTACGCTCATTATTTTCTTTATTCTCTATTTCCACCTGAGGATACTCATCCTGAGGCACCTAGAGGCTATGCAGCACCATTGATGGGATCCAATACCTGTGGAGAAATGATGCCAAGCTATCCATAATCCTGGACCAGGCCGTATCCTGCGGTGATGCTGTGGTGTCATGGAGGAATGGAGAGCATGAGACTGATTCCTGAAAGACCACAGTGACAAACGAGTCCCGCATTGTTTCTGTGGGCCAGCCTGACCTCCCGCCAGTGACCGACTCACACCTGTGGTTCTCATGATGGATGTCCATCTTCTCCAGCTTCCGACGTCTAGACTGCAGCTCCACACAGGAAGTTTGGCCAGAAGAATAATGGTCGTGCCCAACAGAGCCTGGTTTCACATGAGAGTGAAGCATCTGGTGATTTACTAGCACTGAATTTAGGACTTATTAAGACCCTCTCAAACTTTGAACATGATTAATATGTTTTGTGTTTACCCATTCTACAGTGATGCAAAGCTCATTGATATTCAATTATTGCGTGGTCATTCAAGTGTTATTCAAGTGTCTCACATACAGTGGAGCATCATCAGTGACAGTATTCTCTAAGCTGTGGACATATGATCTGCCTTGTGAACCTCACCTTATGTCTGAAGCTAACAGAGGTCTTTTCAGTGGAGCAGATAAAATACTTAGAGAGGATCTAATGCACATGAACATTTCCCAAAGTGCAATGAGACGTGCAACATGTTTGATCAATGCACTGGACTTTGTCTTCCTATGGACTGAATACCATCACAGATGGACACAAATCCAACAAAGCTGATTGCGGATATTCCTGAGCAGCCACTTGAGCACAAGCTTAACACCATATCCCTACACCTAAAGACACTGTAAAGTTCAGTGATGTAACTCTATCTTAATCTTGAACCTGCTTTTAATGTTTGATTTCAGGTGATGGCATTGCTTCTACAACCAGCATCATCGCTCGCCAAAGCCATCCAAAGACTATGATCTTGTGGCCCCTTAGAGACTGCTCAAATGTTTCAACCTGAATCACTTTGCTGGATCCTCCTTATCCTTTATAACAGGGGTCACCAATCCTGGTCCTGGAAGGCCGGTGTCTCTGCAGGGTTTAGTTCCATCTTGCCTCAACACACCTGCCTGGATGTTTCAAGTATACCCAGTAAGACCTTGATTAGCTTGTTCAGGTGTGTTTGATTAGGGTTGGAGCTAAAATCTGCAGGACTCCGGCCCTCCAGGAACAACTTTGGTGACCACTTCTCTATAATCTCCCCCTCATTCTTCATCATTTAGATAAATGCCTGCTCACCGATTGTCCTAATTCTACTTCTGAACATCTATTCTTTAAGCATAATGTTCCTCTTTCAGCAGAACATTATAGGATTTCTAGGGATTAAATTGTGCAAAAACATGCAAGCCTCCCCAAACCACTTATACCCATAATTTATGCTTCATCAGCACAAAAGATGATGTAAACAGACTCAAATAGGGTCCTTACAGAATTTTATTTATTTACAGAAATATATTAGAAAAACATTGGAACAGTCACTGTCAAATTCATCTTTAATCTACAGAAATAATTACAGACACTGACAAACAGTCACTTAAGTGTCTAGAGAATCTGTCATAATGTTAAACTCTAATAATATAAAGACCAGAATGATGAGGAAATACATATAAACACAAAATAAATGAATTGTATTACACAGTTAATGATAAAGTAAACATTAGCAAACAAATAAACAGCACAGGGCAGCTCAGTTCTCTATGAGTGTAATCGCAGTTCATGCTGTGCATCATTTCATGTTGTTTTTTACTGACAGCATTGAGTAATTTGGCTGTTAATAAAAACAAAATACAATATTTGGAATTATTATTATAATATTTTTTTTGGCAGAGGATTTCTTTGTTTGTTTGTCTGAGCAATATCTGGCAACACTGCACCATCTGTGCTTAAAAATGAACAATAATCAAAACAGAAGCGCGAGGAGAACACAACCAGCAAAACAAGAATAACCATCATGATAATGTATGTACAACACTGTCAAAGACCATCAAAACTGCATCATGACAGCTCAGTGTTCAACAACTAATCAGGAGAATAGCAGAAGTTCATCAAGCATTCATATACAGGCATTCATCATTCATACAAGAAATCTCATTTAAGAAAATGATTCAAGCTAAATGTTGCTGTTTTCCTACTTAAAAGCAAATCCTGGCGATGGCCATCATTATACTGGTTTAAAATCTCATATCCCTGTAAATGATCTGTCCGTTTATCAAAACTGTGTAGATGAGAAGAGCAGAGGAGTGTGTAGACTGAGCTGAAGCTGCTGCTGGTGTTGTGAAGAGCGCTGGAGTCACTGCTGTTTAATCACACAGAATGTCTCTGCTTCAGCTTTAGCTGTAAAACATCAACATTAGCTCTGATAAATCACACTGGACAACATGACAATCACAGTAGAACTAGTCAACACACAAGACAACTCCAGTATTGCCCACTATAAAGCACAGAAGTGATCAACACACAGATCAGACCTGCTGTAGAAGATCCTGCTGGGTTTGGACTTTGTGGATCTTCACAGTTTGTGTTTCTGATCTCAGATTTACTCATTTAGTGGATTTTTAAACAGAGCATCTGCAGCGCGAGAATGAGAGATGAGCCTCCTCATTATTTACTTTCACTTTCACTCTCGTGGATAGGGAAACGTGTTGTACACAGACATCCATTAGTCTATATATAATTAATTTAGTTTGTTAAGCGCAAAGATTTGTGTCAAAACTATTTCTAAATTCAGTTCTAATCTCCAGCAAACGAATAAATGAACAATAGTAATAAAGTGTGGTCAAAATACTGAGTTATATCCTAAAACACATTCTGCCCTATATGGTGTAAAACCTGACAGGTGGACAAATCTAAGCTTGTTTTTAATAAAACAAATATAAATATGAATATAATAAATAATACAGCTAATAATAATAACATTATACAAAAGCAAATTGTCATGAATAAACTGAAAAAGCCGAAGGCATGGAGGCGGTGGTGTTTATATTGATGTAGGCTAGAAAATAACATGTTTTGTAATGTTTTAATCCTTTAATTATTTTTCATTTGTACAGATATTTCTGTAATGCTGCACATCCTGTGTGTTTTAGCACAACTAACACGCTCTGCACTGGACTTTACACCTCCTCTCAGCTGGTCTATTGAACAGTCTGTTATAGTTCCTCAAAATAGCAAAGCTCCAGCGATGCGCCTTAACACACCTCTTACCTGGACTGAAAGACCATGAGTCCACAAAGTGGTGCAAATAGATTTGCTATATTAAAACAACACGGCGAAATATGGGAGATTAGTGTCTGAAAAGAGCAACACGTCATAGAAACACGTCTTGCGTCTTATTGTGTCGAGTATATGATCGGGCTCTGAGGCTTCGACACCAGCGCAGATGTTTGGAAACACTGATCTGAAGCGTTATGAAACACACAGGTCATGTGACTAAAGCAATTCAAAGGCTCAGAGTATTTCACAAGCGTTTTGAGACCTGGCGTATCTGCATGTGATTGCCAGTATATACAGCAGTGGACCCTTATTCCAGTCCTCAGGACCCCCACCTGCACATGTGTATGTGTCTCTTATTTGACATGAGGATCAGTTCATGGATCTCTCTGTTAATGAGCTGATGATCTGAATCAGGTGTGTTGAGGAGTCATATAAGATGTGCAGGGTGGGGGTCCTGACCACTGGAATTGGGAACCCCTGATATACAGTAACATACAGTCCAATGTGCTGCGGGTGTCCCGAGTGTGAATGCAGGCTTGTGCAGATATTCAGAAATGTTGACTTAATGTCTTTATGCTTTGATGATCAATATAACACATATTTAGTCACTAAGAGTTCATTCACATGTCAGATTACAGACATTATAGATCTTCAATATAGACTATAGTTGCTCCACCGTGGATTTGACTCAGATGTGTCTGCATGTCAGTCAGGAGCATTAACCACTGCAATCAATCTCTTGATATCCTCAGTCAACATGGGTCATGATCGCTCACTTCACTGCTTCTTCAAGTGTTTTAGAGTAATCCCTGAAAATGAGCACTGAATGTCCCTGTAGAGACAGGTCTCCAAACACCTCGGGGTTTCACAACGCCTCGCTCTGCCCAACACTATCTAGACCAGGAGTGTCCAAACTCGGTCCTGGAGGGTCGGTGTCCTGCATATCTTAGTTCCTAAAATGAAGCTAAACTTTGCTGGACACCGACCCTCCAGTACTGAGTTTGGACACCCCTGAACTAGAATGAGATATAATTGTTAACAGAAAGTTGCTAATCACCCCACACACACACCAGACAGAAAACACACACACACACACACACACACACACACCAGACAGAAAACACACACACACACACACACACACACCAGACAGAAAACACACACACAAACCAGACAGAAAACACACACACACACACAGGTGGTATACATCCACCTGCCTCCATGTGGTCAAACACCCAGAAATGCAAATAGAAAATGAAAGACAAGCATGAACAGCACACACACTCATCATCATCATCATCATCATCATCATCATCGTCGTCATCATCATCATCATCATCATCATCATCATCATCATCATCATCATCATCATCATCATCATCATCATGTACCTGTTATAGAAGTGCAGTTTGTGCTGTGGTCTGGAGTCTCTGCTGCTGCTGTTTGAGCTCCAGCTGTAAAAGATGAAGATCAGATTAAACACTGCAGAACATCACAGCTGAACTAGTTATCTCCAGTATTGAACTCTGTAAATCAGTGATGTGAGATGAACACTGCTCCACCTTCAGTTGTGTCTGCTGCTGGTTCAGTCTGTGGTGTCGGCTCTGCTTTAGCTGTGAGATCTGGAGCTGTAAGAGATGATGGAGATGATCATTCAGCTCAATCACACTCCACTAAACTCACACTCTGACCATTTTGATAAAAGATTTGAGGAATAAAGGATGATTCTCTGACCTGAATAGTGGACAGTAAACGTGTCTGAGGTCTTCAGTTGATTTCTCTGATAGACTCCACATCTCCACTGTTTATCTTCATCTTCACTGATGAGTGTTGTAGACAGACTGATGATACAGCCTGTAGAAGAGATCTGATATCTGGAGTCTGTGTTCAGATCAACACCAGCCTCATTCACCCAGGACAGATGAAGATCCTCAGAACTGAACAATTCATCACAGGAGAGTCCAGAATATGAGAACAGCCGACATGAGAGAGTCAGAGAGAGACCCGGACCAATATCAGATGAAGATGATGATGATGAAGATGATGATGATGATGATGATGATGGAGAGACTGAAAGTGAACAGAAGACACAAATCACTAATCATGAGCTGAAACACAGAATTCAGCCCTGATTAAACTGAACACATGAGGAGGAAATTACCAGCAACAACATGCAGATACACAACTGAATCAGGTCCATACTGGTGTCCTCCTCGTCCACTCCACTGTTGGCAGGTGTAACGTCCAGCATCTTCTGTTGTGACTCTACTGATGATCAGAGAGCAGTCAGAGCCCAGATTCAGTCTCTCTGAGTTTCTCTTCTTTACCCCTAAACCAATCAGCTGAACTGCTGCTGTCTGTCTGTATCTGCTGTAGGTCCATGTTGTTCCTGTTGTTCTGCAGTACTGAACAGTGTTTCTACAGGGCAGCTGAACAGTTTCTCCAGATCTGCTGAACACATGAGTGTCCTCTTCGCCAAACACACCTGAAACACATTTAATGTCATATTTAACTGCTCAAAAATAATTAACTAAAACAGCAAATAATGATGTTATTTAACACTCGCCGTTTGCGAAGTCCATTTTAGGATTCTAAATGCAGGCTATCCTTCTATAGAATTTTCAGATGTCGATTTAGTTTTGATGAAAACAATTGTTCATTCTGTGATGATCTGTGATGCCACAGCCATATCACCCTGCAGCCCAAGACCGGTTACTCACTAAAGCTAAGCAGGGCTGAGCCTGGTCAGTACCTGGATGGGAGACCACTAGGGAACACTAGGTTGCTGTTGGAAGTGGTGTTAGTGAGGCCAGCAGGGGGCGCTCAACCTGTGGTCTGTGTGAGTCCTAATGCCCCAGTAAAAAGTGAAGGGGACACTACACTGTCAGTGGGCGCCGTCTTTCGGATGAGACGTTGAACCGAGGTCCTGACTCTCTGTGGTCATTAAAAATCCCATGGCACTTCTCGTGAAAGAGTAGGGGTGTAACCCCGGTGTCCTGGCCAAAGTCCCTCTATCGGCCCATACGATCATGGCCTCCCAATCATCCCCTCTCCACCGAATTGGCTCTATCACTGTCTCTCCACTCCACCAATAGCTGGTGTGTGGTGAGCGCACTGGCGCCGTTGTCCTGTGGCAGCCGTCGCATCATCCAAGTGGATGCTGCACACTGGTGGTGGTGTGGAGAGACCCCCCCTCATGATTGTGAAGCGCTTTGGGTGTATGGCCATACACAATAAATGTGCTATATAAATACACATTACATTACATTACATCAAATTGAAACTACAGATCGTCTTTTCTTTGTTATTGGTTATAGGTTTAAATGCTCTAACAAAAGAAAATGTACTGTTTGGTTTATTTTTGAAAGATGAAACACATGATTCAGCAGTAAACACCATTATTATTAAAGTTTGCTTTTTCCATTGGAGGTGCGTGGCATGCGCACACAAGCGATGTGACGCGCTCGCGCCAATGACTCCCATGAGCTCACCGCGAGTAGCGTGACAAGAATTGACCCATCAGCTTCAGCTTGTATGGAATATTCACATTTCAGTAAGTTCAAACACAGAACACCCAAACACTGCAGAGCTTTGTCATTTTTCTGATAGATTAAACTTATATCAGAGTGACAGCAATGTTTTGTCAGCTTGTCATTCTCTACAACCCACGAACGAAGGCCAAAGGCTTACACTTCTCAGTTACAAATGATCTACTGATGTTTTGCCTTTATATTGTACATTAGGCTATTGTTTCATAAATTGTATTATATTGTTGCATATATATATATTATATTGTTGTATTATATTGTTGCATAAAGATATCTAGATATGTCAGTAAACATAACAGTTTGTTTGAAAACAACATTTTTGTCATCATTACTGCAAACTTATATGAGTGATAATATCATTAAATGTAGAGGGGGCCTCACAATATTTTCCTGGGGAAAAGGGGTCTCAGGCATAAAAAAAATTTTTTTAAAAAGGGTTGTGAACCACTGCTCTAGTGTCTGTAAACATTTAACCATGTTTTACAGTATGGATGATGAGAAACACATGCTGCCAGAGTTCTTTAGTTAGAGTTAATGTGTAAATGTAAGCTGATATAAACAGATATATATTCATCATAATAGCAGCTTCAGTTTACAACTGTAATGTACAATGTCATAAAGTTTACTCTAAATAAATAAATACACGTTACTGAAAATCAAGATCAATATATATTCTGTATTTATATTAAATGTGTAGAATATCAGCAGTTATGAACAGACTCAGCGCTGGACAGTAAGTATGTCTGGATGAGCCGGGTCAGTGTGAGAGATGCTCAGACAGCAGAAAGGATTGTCAGTGCTGGATCATCACTACAGGTTATAGTTTGACCTGAACATTTATCAGTATGTGTGTAAATGAGATCTTACAATCAAGAAGCAGCACGACTGACACAGATAACAGTGTTTGAGTGAGGAAAAGGAAGCAGATGAAAACATACAGAGAGTGAGAATGAGAGGATGATCATGTGATGTGTGACGTCACTGTGAGGGTTACAGTTAGTGTCAGGTGTTCACATTACACGTGTGCATATCTGAGTGTGCATGTGCCAGAGACAGACCCTTCTCTATTATTATACCCCATAACTAATACATTAACATGATGAATTAAGACAATACTGTAGAGTGACTCTTCTGTCAGGTTTACTGTGGTTCAGTGATGTTAATGTGAGTGTTAAAGTGTCTGATGATTCTCTGACCTGAATAGTGGACAGTAAACGTGTCTGAGGTCTTCAGTTGATTTCTCTGATAGACTCCACATCTCCACTGTTTATCTTCATCTTCACTGATGAGTGTTGTAGACAGACTGATGATACAGCCTGTAGAAGAGATCTGATATCTGGAGTCTGTGTTCAGATCAACACCAGCCTCATCCACCCAGGACAGATGAAGATCCTCAGAACTGAACAAATAATCACAGGAGACTTCATAATATGAGAACAGCCGACATGAGAGAGTCAGAGAGAGACCCGGACCAATATCAGATGAAGATGATGATGATGAAGATGATGATGATGATGATGATGATGATGGAGAGACTGAAAGTGAACAGAAGACACAAATCACTAACCATGAGCTGAAACACAGAATTCAGCCCTGATTAAACTGAACACATGAGGAGGAAATTACCAGCAACAACATGCAGATACACAGCTGAATCAGGTCCATACTGGTGTCCTCCTCGTCCACTCCACTGTTGGCAGGTGTAACGTCCAGCATCTTCTGTTGTGACTCTACTGATGATCAGAGAGCAGTCAGAGCCCAGATTCAGTCTCTCTGAGTTTCTCTTCTTTACCCCTAAACCAATCAGCTGAACTGCTGCTGTCTGTCTGTAACTGCTGTAGGTCCATGTAGTTCCTGATGTTCTGCAGTACTGATCAGTGTTTCTACAGGGCAGATGAACAGTTTCTCCAGATCTGCTGAACACATGAGTGTCCTCTTCTCCAAACACACCTGAAACACATTTAATGTCATATTTAACTGCTCAAAAATAATTAATTAAAACAGCAAATAATGATGTTATTTAACACTCAATTGCACACAGTAGACATTTTACTGCTTTTAATTTTTCCCCCAAAATTATTTGCTGTTAGAAATATATAGTAAATATAGTAGTTTGGTTTACTTTCCAAATCTTTTATAAAGAGCAGAACACTGCATCATTCATTTATTTTCTTGTCGGCTTAGTCCCTTTATTAATCCAGAGTCGCCGCAGCAGAATGAACCGCCAACTTATCCAGCACATTTTTACACAGTGGATGCCCTTCCAGCCGCAACCCATCTTTGGGAAACATCCACACACATTAATGCACTATGAACAATTTAGCCCACCCAATTCTGTACCGCATGTGTTTGGACTGTGGGGGAAACCGGAGCACCCGGAGGAAACCCACACGAACGCAAGGAGAACATGCAAACTCCACACAGAAACGCCAACTGACCCAGCCGAGACTCAAACCAGCGACCTTCTTGCAGTGAGGCGACAGCACTACCTACTGCGCCACTGCTTCGCCCCAACACTGCATCAGAGTTTTAGAAGATATTTGTGACGCTGGACCACAACACCAGTCATATCAGTCTAATTGTTTAAAAGGAGATTTGTTCGTCTTTTGAAAGCAGAATAATATTTTGATTTTAACTTTCCATTGATCTACACCTTATTATAAGACAACATTTGCCCAAGAAACAACTAATTATAATCTGGAACTAATTAAAAGCTTCCAAACAATCTAAATATTTTGTTAAGTTTTCAAAATAAAAAGCAAATTAGCGATGCAAATTACTCACAAAAATATAATTTTAAATATTTACAGTAGAAAATTAATAAAAAAATAAATAAAAAACATTGAAATTAAATCATCTTTTTAAATAGCATTCCTAAATATTGCATAAACTTATCATAAGACACTGAAGTCCAGAGTCACACACTGACTCACAATCCATTACTGCAAACATCACAGCCTCCTAAAACAGCCAGAATAATGAGCTGAAGTGCTGAGTTTATAATCTTGTAGATGATGAACAGCAGTGTTTACCTGTGCTGAGTGTCCAGAAGATGAGCAGCAGAAACAGAGGACTCCTATCAGCCATTCTGTGTGTCTGACACTCGTCTTCTGCTTTATATATATATATATATGTTGAGCTCTTGTTTAAACAGCAGCAGCTCTTCCTGTGCTTCTGCAGCTTCCTCTCAGATCAGCCTCACTCTTTGTCTTCCTGACACTACACCAGTTTATAGTGGACAACTCAACACACTTCAGCCAATCAGCTCAGCAGCAGTGTTTGAGTTCAAGTCCAGGATTAATCTTGACATGAAGAATGCAGAAATCAACTCTTGACTGTTTTGAGCTCTTCTGATCGGACTCAACATGTACAGAGACACAAACACAATCATCAGATTCATTTAGAAGAGTTTCAACACTTCATCCACTGAAGAGAATGGAGAGTTATTAGACTACGAAATTAACGACAGGACACTTTATTTAAAGCACAGTTTATTATATATATATTAACATTAAACTGGAGTGGAAAATGTGTGTGAGGTGATGAACATCCTGTGAGTAATCTAGTGTGTGTGACGTGATGCTCATGTTCACTTCAGGGTCAGTGTGAGTGAATCCAGCATGAGGATTATTAGCTGAGAGGTTCTGCTCCATCTGTCCAATAACACGTCTCACTGAATTCAGATCTGCTGGATCTCCCCTGAGACAGATTGTAAGTGTTTTCACTTGTACATAAATATCCTAAAAGCTCAGTATTCTGCTCACAGATATAAACAGATCATTTCCCAAAGATGGGTTGCAACTGGAAGGGCATCCGCTGCGTAAAAAACGCACTGGATAAGTTGGCGGTTCACACCGCTGTGTCAACCCCAGATTAATAAAGGGACTGAGACGAAAAAAGAATGAATGAATGAATAAACAGATCAGTCAGATCATAGTTTCCTCACAGCAGGTGAATCTGCTTCAGAGATGATCAGATGTGCTCCAACATGAGGAATCAAGACTGAAGACACTGTTTCTGTGTGTCTGTGCATTTACTGCATGAGCTCTGTGCTGATCACACTGTTTATATGTGCTTTATAGTCTTTTAAAACTCTTTTCATACACTTAATTTCTTTAATTAGTTTTATTCTTTGCTGTTTTAATTGTTTTATACATATTTTGTGATTATTAAACACATTCTCTTATGTAAACTGATATTGTGCATTAGATGTGCTGATATAGAGACCTGGTGTTTTCAGAGCTGTGATCTCACTCTTGTGGTTTACTCCTGTTGTTCTTAGGTGTCAAAACCGAGTTATTTTTACCACACTGGTTTCACACACACATTTCCCCACACACTCCAGCTAACCAGACTACACATGTGTTAAAGTCTTCTCTTGATGTAGGTTTTCTGAGAACACAGATGTGAAGCAGGAACACAGAGAGAGGACGGACAAACAGATAACCTTTATTTGTTATTGTAAATGAATTTTAAACTGACCGAGACTTAAATGCAGAGAGCGTCTTCTGAGCACAGGTATCTATGCCACATGTGTTGTTGAAGAGTTTTGTTAAAGGCCACTGGCTCTGCCCAGATCCAACAAAATTACTGAAAGAATTGTGACTGTTATAGGAGAACCTCTTCTTAACGTTATCAACTCTTCTCTATCTCTAGGCCTTGTTCTAAACCCTTTCAATGGCTTTTATTAAGCCTATTATTAACAAACCTGGAAACCAGCAATCTAGCTAAATACAGGCCTATTATAAATCCTCCATTTCTGTCTAAAATACTAGAAAAAGTTGTTTCTACTCAATTAAGCTTCTTTCTGCAGATGAACAATATTCATGAAGTGTTTCAGTCAGGTTTCAGAGCTCATCACAGTACAGAAACCGCATTAGTGAAAATAACCAATGATTTACTCTTAGCTGCTGACCGAGGGTGCGTCTCGCTATTAGTTCTGCTCGATCTTAGTGCAGCATCTGACACCATTGACCACAATATCCTCATAAATCACTTAAAGTCTACAGGTGTCCAGGGACAGGCTCTACAATGGTTTAAGTCATACTTAACTGACCGTTACCAGTGTGTGAATATTAATGGACGCCTTCACAAGTCAGCCCAGTGCAGTATGGGGTGCCTCAAGGATCAGTTTCAGGCCCTTTGCTGTTTACAATCTACATGCTGCCACTGAGACATTATTAGAAGACATGGGATCAGCTTTCACTGCTATGCAGATGATACTCAATTATATATTTCAACTAAACCTGACGAGACGTCTGAACTGTCTAAACTAACTGAGTGTATTAGAGATGTTCAAGACTGGATGACCAACAATTTCCTTCTCTTAAACTCCGACAAAACAGAATTATTACTTATTGGGCCTAAATCCTGCACACAGCAGATCTCACAACTCAATCTACAATTAGAGGGATACAGAGTTAGCGTTAGCTCTACTATAAAAGATCTGGGTGTCATATTAGACAGCAGTTTAACTGTTGATAATCATATATCCCATGTCACAAAAACTGCCTTCTTTCATCTGAGAAATATCGCTGAGTTATGAAGTATGCTATCCATCTCAGATGCAGAAAAGCTAGGCCATGCTTTTATGAGCTCTAGGTTGGATTACTGTAATGCTCTATTTGCCAACCCGAGCTCATTGTTGAAACGTAGCCCCGCGGACGTTTCTGCGGACCGCGATTTACGTCCCGGGAGGTACGTATTCGAGCGTTTTTTTTTTTTTCGCGGATCCGCGAGAGGCCGCTATGCGCACTTTTTTGCGTCTCGGGCGCCTCTCGGGAGCGTGCGGCGTTCGCGCCCACGCCGTTCTCACGCGAAAAGCCGCCGGAATGGGAAAAAAAAAAAAAAGCAAAAGCCCTCGTCTTAGATTTCGACTGTGTTTTCGGATCCCGCCACGTTCTCGCCCTTATTTTTCGGATTCCGTTTTTTGCCTTACCTGATTTCTGGAACCTGCTGTTCCCCGGACTCGATCCTGGTTGTCGTCCACCGCGGCCGGCTCCGGCTCCTCCTCCGGGGCCTCCACTCTGCCGACGCAACACTGTGAGCTAAGCGGACAAACGGATTGCATCGGGAAAGCCCTCCACTCGGAGGCGAGCCATCGGCCAGCGAGCGCGAAGAGGAGGGGCGGAGCGGCGCCACACCGCCCCGCAGCGTTTGCTCGAAAAAAACCAAACGCGGCCTTTACGTACCTCCGGCCACGTAAATTGCGGTCTCCAGAAACGTCCTCGGGGCTACGTTTCCAGAATGAGCTTGGGTTGCTATTTGCTGGCTGCCCAGCATCCTCTATTAATAAACTTCAGCTAGTACAAAATGCAGCAGCCAGAGTTCTGACCAGGTCTAGAAAATATGATCATATCAGCCCAATGTTCTCCTCCTTACACTGGCTGCCTGTTCAGTTTCATATTGAATTAAAAATATTACTCCTCACCTATAAAGCTCTAAATAATCCTGTTTATCTAACCAACCTTCTGTCTCACTACAATCCAACTCGCTCTTTAAGATCTCAAAACTCAGGGCTTCTGGTAGTGCCTAGAAAAGCAAAGTCCAGTAAAGGAGGTCGACCCTTCTCCTTTATGGCTCCTAAACTCTGGAATAGCCTTCCTGATAATGTCCGAGGCTCAGACACACTCTCTCAGTTCAACACTAGATTAAAGACCGATCTGTTTAGTAAAGCATACACTCAGTGCATCACCTAACAGTATGAAGCATGAGTGTGCGCCACACAGGTGAGCTGGCTTGACAACCACCTGTAGGACACACTGCTCCTTAATACAACAGACACTGTGTAAGAAACTCTCATATGCTTTACATGTTTGTTTCTATATTTGATTATATAACTGCTATTTTCATTTATAACACTTCATTTCTCATTTCATTTCCAATTCTCATAAAGATCGTTCAACTTCTCAATAAATACTAAATTGAGCTGCGGAAGCTTATCTAATAAATAGATCACTTAAACGAGAGCGAGTAAACAACAACAACAACAAAACTGTACAAACACAAATGAACAGGCCGACTGAAGTGAGGAGTTTGGCGGTGAGCTAAGCGCTCCTGCTGAACGACGCAAGCTAACGCCTTTTATACGTGGTGGACCAGCTCCTGATTGGTGCTCTGAGTACATCATAATAGTGATTGACAGCCTTCTCGACCAATGGTTGCACACCTAGAACAGGACCAAATACACAACGGAAGAGAGAGCAGAACGCAAAACAAACACAAAACGCCACAGAAAATACGTGAAATGTAACGGAGAACTCAAAAAGAGCGAATGTTGGGAGTGGGAAAATGTCCAGTGAGCTGACAGAGAAGATGACGAGGTCACTCACTACACTGACACTGCTGTAATGGAAAATGAACAAGCTATTAACAAAATATTAATTAAATAATTAATGAATAATGTAGACTGAGTATACAGGCTAATATTATTGTTTTATTATTCAGCTTTACCGTCGCCTTAAGGCCGGATTGTGAAGAGAAGTGGTGAAACACATCCCACAGAGCCTTTATCTTAATTTCATTATTGCCAAACACCCTTAATTTAACTTGTTGTGTTGGCTAATTTAAAGGCTAAGTGTATGTACCCAGGCCTGTTTAGAGTGCTGAGATGTTACGATAAATTAATGAATAATGTTAAAACGCATATAAATGACTTATTCATTAAAAAAAAAAGCAAGAGAGCTGTGTGCATCAGCACATTTAAATAATGTCAGGCTGTAAACAGGTCCGGGCTTTTAAAAAGCATTCAGTCAACATACTGTCATGCTCAGGCCGAATTCTGCTCTAGTCCTGAGCGCTGCTGTGTTGCACTGCTGTGTTTGTCTAACTGTCTCTGGACTGACTGAACTCATTATGGGAGAGCGTGAATCAAAGCGTGATCCTCATACTGTGATGGTTTGGGATGAATACATGTACCGTTACACCCCTAATAGTGTTAATAACTCACCTCTAATCACTGATTTATTTCCTCTTTGTCATGATGACAGTAAATAATATTAGACTAGATATTCTTCAAGACACTAGTGTTCAGCTTACAGTGACATGTAAAGGCTTCACTAGGGTAATTAGGGTAAAGTTAGGGTAATTAGGAAAGTCATTGTGTAACAGTGGTTTGTTCTGGAGACAATCCAACACTAATATTGACCTTAAAATCTCAATATAATATATATATATTTTTTTAATTATTATTAAAAACTGCTTTTATTCTCGCCTAATAAAACAAACAAGACTTTCTCCTGAAGAAAAAATATTGGAGGAGATACTGTGAAAAATCCCTGAATCTGTTCAACATCATTCAGGAAATATCTGAAAAAGAGAAACTGCATGTGTG